TGAGAGCTAGTTAAGGTGAAAATAAAAACCTGTCTGCACCTGGAAGCTTACTTAAATTCAATTTCTCCTGGTAATGTTTCTTTATAGCATCACCAGTGTAAACATTTATATGTCTGTTTTCTGTGAGAGTTATTTAACTTGCTCACCCTGCTGGTGTCAACAGGTGAAGCAGTAATTATTCCATACCTTGGTAAAAAAAGTGATTGATTTATTAAAGCAAGAAAAACTTTAAAAGAAGTGCTAAGACAAAAAAAAAAAGTGCTTCTCCCTAATAACTAAATACACTGTAATTGCTAGAATAGTGGAGAGCTGAGTGCTACAAATACTCATTTTAGTCTGGTGCCTGGGAGCTCTGGACTAAGAAACACTTCAGCTTGTCTGCTAGCTGCTCTAATTGAAGAAGGGATTTGTCCATGTAAATGTAACACTGAATTGGTACTATTAATTAGAGTAACTTACAGCCAGCAAAAGTATGCTTCATGGTTAGATTTAAATATTGGGATACCTAGAATTTGCATTACGCCTTTGTTTGAGGTATCCACATGACTAGAGGCTTTACTGTTGATTTGTGCTGTACTTTTCATTGCTCTAGGGGTTAAAACAACTCCTGAAGAACACACCCTTTTTTGCTTGCCTTCTCCCTCACCCTGTCTCCTACATTGCATAACAACTAAGCAATTTTGTTTGACTTGCTCACCCGGACTATCACCTCTCATGACTCCAAAGACCAGAGATTGCTGCTTGTGTAATATCAACCAAAGCAATAACTGCTTTTCCTCTTAAATCTATGATTTTAGTAAACATGTAAACTTCAATTAGGATTTTAATTATAGCAATTAGGATTTTCACTGCTCTTATTTACAGGATTAGCTGACTAAAGGTAAATTGCATCTTTCTTTTGCTGTTGTTTTCATGTGTCCTGATGATACTTAACCAGAGGTGTTCTCTAAAGAAAATGTACTGTGATTGCTTATTATTCTTCATTATAATTAAGCTGTCCTTTGAATGCAGCCTGTCATACTGAAGTGAGTTTACACACAGAAGAGAAAAACTAAATTATGCCAATGTTACCACTTAATAAAAATTACTAACTTGCAGGTATTTGGGAGAAAAGTTTAAAAGGTTGTAAGTTTGGATTCCCTTTCTATATATTTTTAATTTTGTTTTCCTGAGGTCTCTGAGCTGTTCTGGGAAACCTGAAGATAGCTGACAGTGTCCTCGAGAGGACCATGAGCCTTTTACATGATGCTCTCCAGGCATGGAAACAGCTTGCCAAGTATGCTGCTTCTGAGGATGGCCAAAGGCTGATGCCTGTGGAGGGAGGTAGTAGGAAAGAGTGAGCCTTTTTTGGGATTGCCCTTGGTAGTAACCCCATCTTGCCACCAGCTGTGGCTCAGGGACTTCCTATGGAGCTTGTGGCATTGTTTTTTCTTTCATTTAACTCCTCTGGTCTTGCTTTGCACCCAGCAATCTCAGGGCATTTATTAAGTCACTCAATGCTCTGAGTTTTCATGTGTATTATCTCATGGTGTAGTACATATAGTTATGTGTATTTTTTTCCTTGCTTGATTTGTCATATCAGCTTTAGGCTGCCATTATTCAGTATTCATCTTTGTATCTTCCAGCTTTGTAGAAATTCTCATTTTAGGTAGTTGCTGGTAGAATTCTGAACTGATGGCTTCATATATAATACTCTGTGAGCAGTGTTTTTTGATGATACTGCTCAATTTTGCCAGCAGATTCTAAGTCATACTGTGATGTGTCTTTATAGATTAACCTTTCTGATCTTTTGGAGCCTTTTTTCCAGGAAGAGAAATTTGGAGCCTGATTTTTGTGACATATTTCTTTGTAGCTCTTCTGCTGCTTCTGGTTGCCCTAATGAGCATAATAGAACTAGAAAAAAATGAATTAACAAACATTATTAGCCTCAAAGGAAATAACATACTGACAGACATAGATAGAAATACCTGGCAGCATTTCTCAGCTTGTGCCTTTTTAAATTAAGAATTCAAAATATTTAAGCTGTTCCAGCAAGGAATGAGTGGACAAAGGTAGAGCAAATGTGAAATGATGTTTGTCTTCTCTAGCATATAAAATCCATGCATGCCACACTCTTCATAGATCATAAAGTTCTTGATCCCAAGGTGAGTCTACCTTTTGAACTCTGTTTCTTTGCAACTACTGGATTCCTGCTCAGAGTCATGCCTCAAAGGTGCTCTGGCTGGTCCCCTTGTTCCCGTATGGGAAGTTTGTATTGAAAGCTACTTGTCCTGCACAATATTTGGCTTTTTAGTTTTTGTTTGTTACATTTCTTCTTCACTGACTTCAGAAACTGAAGTGAAGCATACCCTATATTTCTGATACATAAAGTTGGTCCTAATATATGTACTTTTTTAAAGGACATTGTAGAAGTGCAGCTTCAGAGTAGAATAACTCCATAGGCTGCCAAGTTGCAGGTTATGAATTTTGCCTGAAATATACAAGTAATTGCATAATTTTAAACTCAAGTTCTTTCTAAAATGCTTCCTAAAGCTACTCCTCAGATTATTCCATGGTATGTAGCAAAGCAAAAGGAAGCTTGTCAGGTCTCAAACCCTTCTGATTGAAAGCTCAATCTTCTTTTATCTTCCGTCTTTCTATTGCTTCTCTTCTGTCAAGCAAAAACCCTGCTGTTCTTTTGGATGATCCCAGCAGTATATTCTTGTGAGGGGTAACTTCAATACCTTCTTCCTTCATAGGTGATATAATAGTGTCCACTGCTGCTTTACTCGTTGAGGATTAGTCAGGTGTTGGGACAAAAACCATTACTTTAAAAAACCTGGCAAAAAGGTTTAAAAAACCTTGCCAAACCTTCTACTAGAAAAATGCATGGAACTTTGCACAAGCTGCTATTGAAATTCATTCATGTTTACTTGACAAGTGTGCTACTAGCATTGAATAGCTGATAAATGTAAAGTGTGAGATGAAGACCTCTAGTTTGCATTATCTAAATGTTAAGACTGTCATAATGAACTCAAAATGCTATTTTGTGTTAGTGTTATTTTTTGGCTCATTACTCATTCTTGAGTCTTAGGAACATAAACTGCTTCTTGTTCTCTTGGCAGTTGAATATTAGGGCTATTATTATTTTATGCTGCTGTATTAGCTGCAGATGGCTTAGCTGTCTGCCATCCTCTGCAGGTTTTAAAGCCTGGTGATGCTGTAGTGAATGTAGGAAGAGAAAAATGTGAAACTGAAACCCAGAGTGACTAATAATTGCAATTTGGTGTGTGTGTGAGAGGAGAACAGCTGAGGAGATGTTTTTTATAACACATTGTACTTCTGCTAAAAATTAATTAATTCAGGCAATGAAAAACCTTGCACATCATCATATAGAAGCTCAAACTAATGAAGATGAGAAGAGATTATGTTGCTGAAAGTGTAGATTAATAGTAATAAAGTAATAAAAGATGTGTGTGACATGCAGGTTACTGAAGCTGTAGGTCAGTCCTCAGCATGGTGTCTCCAGTGGAGATGTGCCTATAATAAGGATGTTGCTGTGGGCTGGGAAGCCTGGTTTTGCAGTACTCTGCCCTACAAGGAGCTGTATAGATGTACTGGAAGTCTCTCCTGAGTGCTGGGGTGTTATGTTGAGTCATAGTATTAATTATAGCTCCTGGATGAGCTGTTCAGATCATGATGTTCAGCTTGTCAAAACATTGGTTCCACATAGTGCAGGCAGATGACTCAGGCAGAATCAAAGGCTGGCATTTGCCTGTACGCTGAGGATTCAGTGGAGGATTTTTGGTGGATGTCAGTGACAGATGACATGAACTGAATATTTGTGCAAGGAAGCCATTACCCTAAAGAGAAATACGTTACTGCATTTTAGAATCATAGAATCATTTAGGCTGTAACAACCTCTTAATATCAAGTCTAACTAATAACCCATTACTGCCAGGTCTACCTCTAAACTATGTCCCCAAGTGCCACATCTACATGTCTTTTAAATAGTTTCAGGGTTGTTGACTCTGCTCCACTTCTCTGGGCAGTCTGTTCCAAATGCTTGACGCCCCTTTGCATGAAACAAAAAAAAATAATGTCCAATCTGAACTTCCCTTGAAGCAACTTGAGGTTGTTTCTTCTTGTCCTGTCACTTTTTCAGAGCTTGGTGGACTTGATTTTCTCTTTTCAGGCTTGAAAAGATGGTTCTTTTCACAGCGACTGTCTCAGGAACATTTGATGTGCAGCCCCTAGAATTAAGTGGCTGACCTTTTTTATTATTCTTAAATTAGAAATGAGGATGTAAGTGTTATATGAAATGCATCAGTGCAAATGTGTCCTTAAAATTTATAGAGTTGGAGGAATTTGGATACCATAATGAAATAGACTTGCAGTTGACTACTCAGGTGCAGATTTCAAGAATAGCCAATAATGTGCTGTGTCACATGCAACACAAAATTATTGGAGTTCATGAGCTTCTCATATATGGTACTGTTTGTTTTATTTTTCCTGTCTGCACAGGATTGAAGGAAACAGTAGTGTGGGAGGACGAGATGAATGTTTTAAAGAGTATCAAATATCTGTACACAGAAGTTATTACTTGGTTTATGCTTCATTTGGTAATAGATGTAACCAGCAGGAAGAAAACACAATACTTTGCTGAAATATTACTTACAACAGGAAAATGCTGTAGTTGCATATTGCTCTTCCTTTATATAAATTCTGTCAGAGACTGATATTTCACTGTGCCTGAATGACTGATAAACATTGTGTGGGAAGCTGCTGCTTACCTGTCTATTCCAGTTATATTTACTTCCTTATGGAGAGATGGAATGTGAACCTTCTCTGTTTATGGAGACCAAAGCATTTTTTGGACATGTTTATACTAGAATAAATTTATACTGGAGGATATGAAACAACTAGAATTGCCTTTTTGTTTGCCCTGTTTAAACTCCCACCACATAAGCTTAATTATGTATTTTGAGGTGAAGACTAAAGAATGAAACTTTCAGGAACACTCAGAATTCACATGATTTTTACTGCAGTGTTTTCAAGATGGTTTTCCATAATTTTTAATAGAAGAAGTAGTTGGAGCAGTGCTGAGCACATGTGAAAATCCAACCTGTAAAAATGTGCATTTTAATTATATAAAATATTCATTACTTTTTTCAAACTGCCTTAGGAGACCAGAAAGTATTTTATTGCTTAAGAGATAAACAATTGCAGCAACCAGAACCCAAGAGTGTTTTTAATTTCAATAAGAAACCTTCACAAAAGGTCAACTAGTGCTTTGAAATGTTGGTGCAGAAATCAGAGCAGGGCACTGCAAGCCCACGCGTCTTTTGCAGCCAAACTTCTTTTCTAGGTTGTTCTGTATTTTGCGTGTGAGAGTCACTGCACAGCATCTGTTACTGCATCATTGGAATGAACCCACTCGTGCCTGCGGGGGAGGAGGTGGGATGCACTGTGCTTGTTCATCCCCCGCCTGTCCCCGCGGGTGTTTCCTCCCGCAGCTGTATGTCCCGGTGGCACAAACAGGTTGCCAGGCAGCAGCTGCCTTTGCCAAGCACCTTGTTTGGAGCCGTGGCTGCTCCGCACACGGCTATTTGTGGCACGGAGTGAAATGCTCAGCGGGCTTGGCTGGCCACCGAGCCGTCACTGTAAGAGTCCCTGTCTGCCCCTGGCAGCCGCCGGCATGGGCAGCCAGGCTGGAAAGCTGTGCAGCGAAAGCAGCGTGGAGTGAGGCGGCAGTCATCCTTCAGCAGGGATTAGGCAGTGCGCCTATTTTTGCTATTGTTTACCAAAGCCCTTCTGGTAACCGCAGTGGAACACTTCTCCCTCCCTCTTCTACCATTTCCTTCAGCACCTTCCCTACCATCAGTTTTGGCTTCTGATAAGATCTTCAGTGTGCCAAGAGGAGATTCTCTTTTTCTTTCATACCTGTCTTTTCTAGTTAAACACCCAACTTCTTCTCCCTAGCACTGCATCTTTAACAATAGGCTGCTTGCTGTGTTTTGTCCCATATCCCAGGGAATGCCCTTGGGAAGCTGCTGCTGCAAAACAACCCCTTACATACTTCTCACTGTCCATGGACAGCTTCACCTCAGAGTAACCTAGAATTCCCTCATGAAAATGAAGTGTATTTTTAACAATGTATTTCAGATCTGGGCAGCATGCCTCCTATAAAATGTCAGAAAAGAGAAGGATGGCCAGCTGCTCTGGATTATCAGACCTTCACAGTAGAAGCTGTGTTTTGCTTCAGTAGCATAAAGGCCCTTTTAAAACGCTTGTTAAGCTCCTTCTTGTTTATTAGAAAAAATTTGGAGTCATTCCTCCAGCAGCAATGGTAATATGACTGGAGAACCAGGCAACTTCTACTTACTGCACATATGGAGTCCTGTTACTTTGAAGGACTTGCTCCTGACAAAAACTAGGAAGATAAAACCAGGCTTTTTGGATGGACATCTTACTGCACTAACTTGCTGTACTACTTGCTTTGCTACAGCCATGCAGAAGACTGCACAGTAGCAAGCTGAAGTAGCAATCAAATGTTTTCTTGTTGACCAAAGAGAATATGAGGCAGCAGAAGTTGTTTCCAACCACATTGGTCACCTGTGGATTTCAGATTACTGCAAAACTGTAGTAGTCCACCAGGAAAAAGTCTCTATGGGGCACTTTTGATTTACAGCAGCATCTTCCCAGGAGAATTGTCTGTGATCTGGGACAAAATACAGGAAAAGAGTTGGGAAATTGTTGAGAAGATAGTGATAAGAGGAAGAGGTAGGCTCACTTGCTGTTTATTATTTTAGTGGCTTCATTTATCTTTACTAATCCTGAATAAATCAGCATTTTTAGTCCACTGTAGTCAGTCTCACTGAAGTTTTTTATGCCCACAGAAGCTCAGCACTGACCTGTGCAAAAAGTGTTGGGAAGCAAGATGAAGAAGAACTGGCATCACTATACCTGCATGTCTGTTGGCAGTCTGCACATTTTCATCACTCATGCTTCAGAGAATGCAGAAACCTTTTCTTCCAGGACTGCAGTGGTGCTCTGGCAAGATCTTTTTGGCCTTGGGCTAGAACCTGAGCATTGCTTCATCTGCAGTGTGCCCTATGACAGATAAAAATAGGACTTGAGCTGCAGCCAGGCTGTGTCAGTGGTGAGGGTGCAGCTTCCTTAGCCTGTTAGAGCTTGACTTCTGGTAGCTCTGGCATAGGGTGAATAATCACACCTACAGACAGGCAGATCAGCAGGGTCATGCTGCCTGGGTCCCACCTACGCAAGGAAATAGCTTGCCTAGGGGGTTGTTGCTCCTTGTTGAGGGGAAGTGAAGGGAAGACACTGACCAAACCCATTCCACAAATTTGTCAGCAGAAGCAGCAGCGTGGGACTGTGTTGGCTGAGCTGTAGGAAGGTGGCTGCATGCAAGCTCAGGCCTGCATGGAGAGTGGCGTGTGGGCTGCTGTACGCTTGCTGAGCAAGCTGTCTTAGGTGGTGGTGAGAGATATGGCCAAAAAACATCACCAACCAGACCCTCTGTGGTAGGTCCTAGGGAAGGTGCAGGTATATTAAGAAATTGTAGCCTTGACTGGACATTCTGTCATGTCCTGTGACAGTATAAGCGGAAATGGCCTCAGGTTGTACCAGGGAAGGTTTAGATTGGAGATCAGGACAGATTTCTTCATGGAAATGTTGTCAAACACTGGAACAGACTGCCCAGGGAAGTATTAGCATCACCATCACTGGTAGTATTTAAAAGATGTGTAGATGTGGCACTTGGGGACATGATTTAGTGGTGAATGTAGCAGTATTAGTTTAATGGTTATACTCAGTGGTCTTGAGGTCTTTTCCAATCTAAATTATTCTATTACTCTCTGATCTTAGTTCTAGTTTCTCTATTTGTTCCTGGTACTCATCTCCTTCTTGTCATCCTCTGCTTCCTCATGCCCCCTCACAGACTAGCAGATTCTTCAGCTGCCAGTGTGCTGTGTGTCATGAGCACAAAGTGCATGCAGTTCTGCAGTTCAACTGGTTGCTAACAAGGCTGAGACAGTTCAACACAAAAGTTAGTTACTCAGGGGGGCTTCCCAAAAGCCTTCCTTTTCTGCAGTTATAAAGTGCTGGAAGCCCACAGGCACTGTGCCACAAACACTGCGCTTCAAAGAGGGAGAGCTTGTAAGAGTCTAATTATTAGCTGTAAATCTTACTTTAGTTAGTGTTCTTACATTGGATAGTTGTTCTAAATGCAGCACATCACTGGAAATAAAGCTTTGGTTTTCCTCCTTCATGTATTGTCCATTATGGCATGCCTGTCAGTTTTGTTAATGGCCTGAGAAACAGAACAGAAATCAAACAATCTGCTTGTACCTTCCCCTTGTCTGAAGTACTGAGAAGAGGAAAGACATACATAGATAAATTCAACACATATGACTTAAAAGACACAAGTGGAGCATTAAATGTCATTTTTACAATGTAATTAACACACTATAGCATTAAAGCAATATTTACCTGGAGAGAGGAGTCTTCTGATCCTGCTTTCCACTGTTGGTTTGCCCATGATAAAATATTGTTGGACTCTGCCTTCACGCCCCCACAGCATAAAGAAGCTGCAGCCAAGTTTGGTGATAAACTTATTTGCACATAGGTTACTCACACCACAGCTCTCCTGGGCAGCTTCTGTCAGCAGCCAGCAGCGAAGACCCTTTCCAGCATCCGAGTTTACATGAGGGCCTGGTGAGGGGAGTGTTCTCTGTGCACAGCCAGCCTGCGTAAATCTCAGTGTGACAGGCTCCCAGCCCTTCTGCTGAACTTTTAACTTGAAGCTCTAGCAGGGTGCTGAGTAGCTCCAGCTACATGACAGGAGCTGTGAAAGTAAATCACTTCGCTGGGAACAAGGGGAAGTCCAGTATATTGTTTTGCGGACTTTGCCTACAGTTTGTTTGCAGTCTAAGCATAGAATATATACACCTGGGAAAGCAATCAGAGCGAGATGGACTTCCAACGCAGAGCTCAGCCCTTCCCCATCCCAGAGGATGAAGAGGTTGCCTACAAGGTCACTCCTGATGCTCACAACTCCGCAGGAAATGAAGGCGAGAAACCGGTGTCAAAATTGCAACGTAGGCACAGTGAAATAAAACTCTACAAAGAGTTTTGTGATTTTTATGCAAGATTGTAAGTTTGTTCTGTTCAGCTTCGGGGTGTAACTGCAGTGACATTACTGGTGTATTGTACATAATGTATTTTATTATCTGGGGCTCAGGCTGTGCAAGCTGTTCTCTCATTCAACCTTTGCCACTGTTCTGCTTGAAACATTGCCAGTTGTAACAACTAAAATTTGAATTGTTGCTTTAAATTTCATCATGAATTGCATCAGGAATTTTTATCAGCAGTAAAAATGGTGTTGGAATTTTTAAAGTAGTCTCTCTGCCTTCAGGTTGTTTGCCAGTTATTCTGGGCAAATGGATAAACCGCTTCATTAATGCAGAAGTATTACATACTTCACTAGTTTTACATATGTGATGTGTTTCAAAGTGAAGCACTTTTTCCTGAAGAGGGAAACTGTTTTTACTTGGTTTTGAACTTTGTTTCATGTTTTTGCTTGGATTGTACTTTACGTACATCAGTGCTTAGAATCCTTAATGCTCAAGCACTGTTGAAGTGATGATGAAAGATCCCAGTTTCTCTTGTGATTATTCTTCATTTAGATTGATAAGGAAGATGGGAAAATTGACTGAGGTTTTGCCCCACAGAAAGCATACACAGTCGATGAAGACCATTGATGACCTTTATAGTTGATCACAGTTTATATGTATAGTCACTGCAGTTTGTCCATAGGTCTGTCTGTTATTAGGGGTTAGACCATCCTGTGTCTGATCTTCATGTGAAATTTGTCCACTCATTTCACTGTGAGGACAGTGGATATTTGGATTGCAGTTACCGTTTTCCTCATCTGCAAAGATCAAGTGAGAGAGAAAAAAAAGTGCCAGCTAATAATAACATGTCAGATGTGACCTTGTGTAGGGCTCTTCTGTGAGACAGTGTAAGAAATAGATAAAACACATTCCATTTTGAACCACGTGCTAGGTGTTTGCTTGCTCCCTTGGATAGTGTGCAAGGAATGAATTCAATTCCTATTGAACATGGTGGGAGCCCAGAGGTCTTATCCCCTTGAAGAGATAAGAAGGAAGGCTTGGCATCTTACAGAGGACTGTGGGCTCTGCACTTACAGGCACAGCATGATAACTTATCAAAATGCGTGCCTGCATGCATATGTGTTTCAAATAATGTCACTTGTCTAATAACCTTCCAGATAAATATTGAGTCATTAGTTTTCTCAGCTGACATCCCATTTTAATGAAACTAGACCGTTGCCCTATATTTACTTTCTGTTACCACATGGTATTAAGGATGATCCTGAAAGGCAGAGTTTTGAGAGCCTAGATATGAGTGATGGAATGTTTGCAAAGGGAAAACCAAAAGAGCCTTTTGCTGGCTTTAATTAACTGAAAATCAGCTATACTGTCTTCTGCAGATGTGGACAGCTACCACACTGCCTTTTTTTTGGTCCTGTGCTTTTGAGAAGCAACCAAGGTTGCTGTTTCAATATTTCTTTGCATCCCTGGCATGGGTCGCAGTGGGGCAGCCAGAGCATTCCCACCCTCTCCTCCCCCCTAGCCTTGGAGTGGGCTATGAGCTGGCACATGATCAGCCGAGCTCCCTGAGATAAACCCTAACAAAGCAATCAAAAATCCCATTATTTCAAACTAAATTTGTAAAATGACTTCAAGCTATGCAGAGCTCATATAAAGGATAATTATTTAACTACTCTGTTTTTTATTAATATCTGCCAGACTAGATCCTGCACACTCTTTCACATTGTTTATTTAGAGCTCTGAACCAATGCCATTATATATGTATAGTTTAGAAGTTATATATGTATGTATTAGAATTGGTTTACAATAAATAATTTATGTTTTACTGTGTGATGCCAGTCCTTAATCATTAATATTTGCCCTTGTTTTCAGTCATTTTAATGTATATCATAATTCTTATAGTACTTTGAATTGCCTTTTTTCATCATAGAAAGCCTGTAAATGTGTCTGAAGAGACAAGGTTTCTGTTTGGGGTTTTCAATTAATTAGA